AAAATTTGGAAAGTATAAAATATAAATTGCACAGTTTTTATGGGTGATATCACAAATGCAGGAGAATTTTTCAAAATGTTATAGACATTAGCTTTTGCATTCATAGACCACCTCCACACACCATAATATGAGTGTCATCTATGTACCATTCTTATGATGAGCATTGCTTCAATAATCCATATACAGAAGATAATATACCATTCTCAAAATTTTCATTGTTGTGCACTTATGCATTATGTGGCCAAAGGTCCACTCCTTCCCCATGGGCTTGCAATACTCAGAGAACCCCAAAAACAAATGAAGGATCACTTCATTCTTAGCATAATATTTCTTCAGTGAATAGAGTTCAATCTAAATTCATTACTTTCCAAATCTCCTACACTTTGGCTCTGGGATCTCTTGGGTGGCTGGGTTGTGACCCCCTCCCCAGCCACCTCACCCCAGAATTTGCCCATCCCAGATTAGCTTGAAGAAATTAGGAGTCCATCCATTTTTGTTCAATTTGAAAACCCACATCAAAACTCATAACTTCCCCAGAGCCCTGTACTGTATTTTGGCTGGAAAATCCCTGTTGAATGATGGTTGGATGGGGCAGGTCCCCTGATGTAAAATATTTTTTATTGGATTTTCTATTGACTTGCTGCAACATTTTTGAATTTGTCTTTGTAACTTTCAAAGATTTTTCAGATTTCCAAAATCAACATTTTATTAAACTTCAGTGGGTATCTGCTTATATGAAGAGGTGAAATTTTGGCAAATAAAAAATATTAAATAAAATGTAAACTGTAAGAAACAAATCCAGCACAGTTGGAACAACTCAATTTAGATACTACAGTATGTACTCAAGTACCACCACACATTTTTTTCTATTATTCAAGGCAGAAAAATAATGAGCACATGGTACTCAATAAATCTCAGGGGAAAATTCACAGAACCATAGCCCAGTCACTTCATTGTGTGGGGTGTAATACTATATTGTTGTATTCCTTGACCAATGTTTTTTTTCTCTTGCAGAAAAGGATCATAATTAATGAATAAAAAAACTGCACTTGATAATTGTGGAAATTCTTCTTGTTTTTTGGTTCAACTGAATTTTAAAATTGTTTTGGAAACCTGGATTGCTCTCAGTTTTGCAGGGTTAGTGCACCATAACATTTTGCTGATTTCAGATTTTTTTGTGGAAAAATACTCCCAATTAATCATGAAATCAGATTTGCAAAAATGCATAGCATATCAAAAACTTGAAAAAATTTGGAATTCTGTCAAGAATCCAAATTTTAACAAATTTTCAAATACAAAATGTTGGGGAAACAGAAACTCCAAGAGGTTTTGCATTTTTCAGTTTAGATCATTCTCATTTGTTTATTACTTCCACAAAATAAAAGTTTTTACAGGGTTGTGTTGAGACAAATGTTCTACAAATTTATTCATTTTTTAAATTGGAAAATGTTGAAAATTGTAGATATAAAAATTAAAAACAGTAGGTCATTTTTTCGATTTTCGTACATTTTCCGAAAAAATGTTTTGTATTTTTGCATGGATCTCAGTCAATTTTCAAAATTTTTGAACATTTAAAAAAAGGAAATACGCCAAACTTCATTGCGCATTCACACCATGAAAAAGTTTGAATTCAGTGAAACAGATATTTTGTGGTGAATTTTTAAATTCAGAAGGTTGGAAAACGAAATTTTCCAAGTTTCAAGTTTAACTCATCATAACATTTTGTTTTTTGCAGAAATATCAATTTTAAAATTTTAGTTGAATGCGGAATGAAATTCTACAAATTTTGAATTTTTTTTCTTTAAAATAGCTTTAAAATTCAGCAAGTTATGATTAAAAATAGGTTACGATTTTGAAAAAAGTTATGCCTGGGGTTGGGATTGAACCGGGGCCTTGCGGGT